TTCAACTGTCTGACAAGTAATTACCGTGATCTATTTCCATTCCATAGTTTTATTAAGTCCAAACATTCAGCGCCGCTTCTCCGACGCTGTAGCGCCTCTTTTGCTCTCAAGGAACGACGAGAAATGCCACGTGGTTCGCTTTCCATTACAAACTTCCATATGTATGGGCCAATTTAATGATATAGCACTCTCGGCGCCGTACCATAAATGATTTCCCTGACTACACGTCATGGCAAAGTGGTTTTGATGTCGCATCAAGAAGGGGAAACAGTGTTCGTAAAAGTTTTCTTCGCATTTCAAATTTTTGATTGACATATCGCTGCAACATGAATGTGAAAGATGTCGGATATACATGACCTATTACTTCACCTTTGATGAACCCAAAGCCTCCCATACGACTTGGTTACGTGCATCTTGTTTCTGGGCAAAGGAAATGTTTACTTTTCTTTAATGGAATCGAGCTGTGAAATATAGCAGTGACAGCTGTTATTGTAGTCCCTGGCTATGCATGAAAGAGGTGCGAGTGAGTATTGTGTTTCGCCGCATTTAGGAACATAAAAGCTACTGGAGATGATGAATCGGTGTCCAACGTGTTCGAGATTCTCCCACCACATATTTTCATTGGGAAACATAGCTTGTCACATGGAAGCCATTTCAAAAACACCATGACAATTTATGTTTACAAACTGTGTAGGTTGCACTCAATTTCCTCATAAAAACGAAAACTTAATCTCCAGATAAGCCAGGCTCGACAGTTACCTGAAAAATTTGATCTGTGAATCATATTTTTTTTGTTGAACGTTTGTATCAAAGTCTCTAATTTATTTCCATGACATGGAAGTTTTGGCTTGCCCTTGTCCATGGTCTTGATCTTTGGTCTCTCAACAAAATACACGTGTTCGTTCATTTAATCAATCCAATAGGTTTCATTAACCTATGTCATTGTGAAATTCCCTTCAATATCTATAATCTTGGAGAAGTATACGTGTATGGAAAGTTATTCAAATTGGCGATAACTCAGTATCACACTGACCTGACCTAAACGTACACATTATTGAATTACTACGTGAAATCTGGCCCTGTCACTTCTCAGTAGCCGTCCGTGGTCAGGCATCCAGAATATTATTTCAGTTTCCCCAAAATATCATTAAATCATCGTTTTAGTATCTCTTATTCAGGAACAAATTAAGTCACATTTTCACTTGAAATATCGTCCCGGCAGCTCATAAAACTTTGTTCCAGAAAAACTTATACTGAAATATGGCAAACATAACATGGATGTCCTGCAAGTGCTGCAACAAGGTAATGTGGTAAACCTTGAAAATATTGATTACTTCCAGAACCAGTGAAAATGTGATTTAATTTGTTCTCATGCTCATACGTAAACCTAGCTCCAAGAAACACACATCATTATGGATGTGATAGTGTCAGCAGTAAAGCAGTTCAACAATATTCCTTCTCCCTCGTTAAAATGGCAGAGATGGATTTCTTCGACGACAGGACCAAATGACGTACAATAATTTAGGGAAACATTTCAACTAGCTATAAATGTGTTCACAAAGCTGTCAACATTGAATTGCTCCCAAGGCGAATCATGCTCATTCTGAAAATAAATTCTTTGCATTTATTCAAAGGTATTCTTGGGAAGCCATATTTTCTAAAGCGAAATTGTAATTCATGGAATTATGCTGAAGTACAATGATATATGCGCTTGAATAATGCATGTGCCATGTATGGCGTGAAGATTCAAGTTTCTGTTAAGAGGTCACAAAGATGTATTATTTTCATAGGAAACAAAATATAGTGACACCCACGTGAATATCGTTGCCTGTCTATTGTGATGTATCCCTTTTGGATAATTATAAATATTGTATTTCTATTAAGTGGATCGCCATGTATCGCCATGTCTTTACGGTAGAAAAATTTCCTAGACATGCAAGTCGGTATGCACATCGTAATAGACGTTCGCTACGCCAAGACGAACCAATGCTTTTAGGTCAGGAGACGGCTGCTGTGATTCAGGGAATTGTCTGGACTTCAGTTGTCCATAATGATCACATCGATGGAGATGCTTCTTAAACTCATTCGATCCAGCCTCCAACTCAAAGCCTACCTCCCACCTCTAAAATACAGCATTATACTCAATAGCAAGAGTAATGAGATAGTGTCACTGGACTGATCATGTCATTCAGGAACAGGTCACTTGAGGAGACCTAGTGGACGCTCTGGCTGGACCATCTGAAACGTATAATTGTTTCCAGGAATGGCTGTACTTTCCGTCAATGTTTATTGGGACGGTAACAGCACTGCACTTGAGCCCTTCCTTGGGAATATAGCTAGGGATAGAGCATTTAGATTTTATTGGTTGGGCTGGGATCTTCTTTCCAGACAAATTATGTCTCGGAAATATATTTACCTCCGCAACGAACATAACATATCATATGATTTGTTGAATCTAAACATAGAGTCAAAGGTAGTAGTCAGGAGTTATGAGATATATTCACATACTCTCTATCGCTCTCTAACTTCCTCCGCCTATCGTTCTTTCACACTACTGATTTCATCCCTCCTCACTCTCTCTCACTCTCTGTCTCTCTCTCTCTCTCTCCCAGATAAAACAAATCACAACCAAAATTAGATATAATTATTTAACAGAATCAAATATTGACAAAACCCCATTTCCACATTCATATGAATCTCTCTCTCTCTCTCTCTCTCTCTCTCTCTCTCTCTCTCTCTCTCTCTCTCTCTCTCTCTCTCTCTCTCTCTCTCTCTCTCTCTCTCTCTCCCAGATTAAACAAATCCCAATACAAAATAGATATAACTAAATAAATAAACATAAGAAATATAGATATATATAAATAGAAGCGATAAAACCCTTTCCACATTCATATGAATATATCTCTCTGATTTCATCACTTCTCCCTCTCTCTCTCTTTCTCTCTATCGCTCTCTCTCTCTTTCTCTCTATCGCTCTCTCTCTCCTTCTGACGTTGATTAGAGCATTTCCATTGCAGATTTAATCCTTGTGTTCACTTGATTAGCATAACTATGCCAACATAATATTGTGATTTGAAACAGATGAATGACTTTTGTTCCTATCTCTATTAACCATTCAGCTTTTACGGTTCTTTACCGACTTGAAATATTGATACATATTTATAAGAAATCCCATTGGCTAGTTTTATCAGACAAGAACACCGAAGCGTTTATAGCTAAGGTCTCCTGGGTGGCCTAACGAGAGATATTTGTAATCGTGTAGATGTACAGATAAATTCTGTATTATTCATTGCTAAGAAAATATCCTATACGAGACAAATGCCACACAATTGCCTTGTAACGAGCGTATTGAACCAGCCATGAATCCTGGCCTGCAATATGTTAAGCAACACAATATACGCCAAGATAGAAAACAACCACCTTGGGATTCATGTATCATTCACTGATGTAAATATTGAAATTGGACATACTGAAATTGCCATCAAATCGAAAACCTATCTTTAACATCTGTCATTTTTATTCATCATGTTGTGTTTATTTACATCAACTAAAAGTTTGCCAAGTGTGTTTTGTAAAACGGGTGATTAACTGTGTCCGTGCGGCCATGTCAACACTCAAACAACACAATGGGTTTTCTTGTGCACACAAATCAAAACATATTGTTACACTCGACCACAAAAAGTAGGTAAGTGAGTTTATTCGTAGCGTGGCTTAAGCGATATAACTCATTCAGACACCATGGATCAAAGAATTTCGGCTGTGAATATTTTCGTATGAACTCAGATAGGAACTTAAATTGTTTCCACCTTAACGGTTACCTACCCATTTGAGGGATACATGCATTATTCATTGAAACCTTTCGAGCACGGAGGGCATGAGCTGAAAATCCTACATTCCCCTAAGCCTTGGTGGCATTAGAAACCCGTGCGCCCGAAATACTCAGCATGGAGAAACAATGATCGGCTTCATCCGTAGATTGACCGGGATTGAGCCATTGTTGTCCAACTGACTGACCAACGTGATATCGGGGCTCTCATGCAGGTCTAATCTCTCCCCAAGGGTCTTAACAGGCCATTTTCATTATCCTGAAACTCGAGCCTATCCCGGCCCACACAAGTGTATATGCAAGTGTTCCGTGTCATACTTCCTCCATCTAAAGTTATACCTGAGGGCTATATGATATCCTTTCTTTCTTCTTGTAACAGGTTTTATGACTCACAAGTTAATAAATTTATTGGGCGTGATATACCTGTCACATATGATTTAACGAAAGGTTACACACGGTATGTGATAATTGGTCCGGAATACATATATTTTACATCAAAATGACAGGTGTCCGTAATGCTTTATTTCCGTATATACTTACAACATTCGAATGCACACGTAATGTAAGTATCGAGTTAGGGATGCGTACGATATTTATCCCATCCTCCATGAGGTTGTTAATTGAAATTAACAGCTACTGAGACCCACGCCATGCTATTTTCTTTATTTACACGTGAACGGATGAACTGGGAACGTGAAACTTGCCGTGAAGCTGTTCATACCATAGCCCACATATCCGTTCGTCTATGATAGCGGTGGTCAGACAAATGTCTCATTCAATGGTCACAGCTGGCCATTGTCCAGATCATTACCTGCTGTGTATTAGAATGAACTTGTCAGTGAAATCAAACTCCTTGTCCAGTTTCCACTCTATCTCATACGATCAAATAATTGGAGAACATTCCTGATCATTTACGCTAGGATGATGCTGTGTGTGCGTGACGTTCGTTGGCCGTTCGCCAACTGGTCGTTTACCTCACGAAAGTCCGCAAGGGCCACCCCAAAACGTAATGCAACAAGTGCGCGGCGGCCTTGCCTGGATAGTTACTGATACTTTGTCAGAACCCGTGATCAACTCACCTGTTGTTGTGAGGTCGTATAGACGTTATCACAAATCTGATGTGTGAAGCAAGATGATAGTGTGATATATTCCAACACTTTCCGTTAATTTCCAGATGGTTGACGATTATTCAAGTGTATCCCAGGGATATTTATCCAGTTAAAGCTTTCATCTGTTCGTTTGGGCTTGAGGTAAGTTGGACTCTCTTTCATGTATCTGGTTAGTACTGAGTGTTAAATAATGATGTACCTAAAAAAGGTACAATAGACGTACATATGTCTGTTAGAAATGAGGTCATGCCGTTTATTATACAGCATTGTTCTCACATCAATTTGTTAAAATTTGTGTTTAAATTAGTATTGGTGTTTATTGCCAAGGGTGTACATGTACTTGTACATATTTTATTGTTAATGTTTTGCTCAATACCAGTTGTCACACAACGGCTGCTCGCATACGATCGCTATATTGATGTACCAAATGGCCTTAAAGTAAAACGAATATAACGTAATTACGATTGATGTATTTACTCCCCATAACATTGACGTATGCTACCATTTACGTTACCTTTAGTTTTTATTCAGGAATTGTAGCAATGCCTTTGCGGGTAGGAACATCATTCTTTTGGGATGTAGCCTTTCCGTTAACATGTAGGTTGACAAACACATATCACAAGGACATGTGTTATCTAACGCCTTTCCATTAGGTTAGTCATATCACAGTAGTCATTGTCTGTATCAAATATGTACGGACAGAATAGTGAAGTATTATGATTATTAGGTGTTTGGCACAAGTACGAATAAACCAAAGACCATAGCAAGGGAGAATCTAATTTTGTTCTGGAAGTTTGTGAACTTTTCTTTCCTTTCTCTTTTACACGGTTTGCGCGCTTTATGAAGAGAAGTTATTTTTATATACTCAACCACATTAAACACGTTACACCTGTTAAATTGAATCCTAACAGGAGTATGGGCATCGCTATGAACATAGATGTGAATCAAGCTGCTATGATCCAGGTAGCAATGCAAATGATGAAAAGTGGATTGCGGCATCATCTTGAATGACCCATGAAGATCTGGGTTAGAATTGGTCTTCAGTAACCCATGCTTGTCGTAAAAGGCGACTAACGGGATCGGCTGGTCATCGTATTGCGTAGAACGATGTTCATGCTGTTGATCACTGGATTGTCTGGTTGAGACTCGATCATTTATAGACCGCTGCCATATAGCTGGAATGTTGCTGAGTGCGTCGTTAAACAATAACTAAAACAAAATTAAACATCACTTTAATGGAAATATTATCCATGACCTTTGGAAACAGAAGAAACCAATCCTAGAGGGCACGTGTAACTGTTGTAACGGATTGCCCAGCATTAAGCCTGCTCATTACATGCTCACGAAGCTGAATTGAGCAAAATGTTTCTTGCATCGATACATAATATACGTTTTGCAATGCCCGTGAGGCTAAGTGAACACGTGACTGGTTGCAGGTGATTGTTGTTTCACGCTTGTAATACTTTTTCTCACGTCGGTGGCCAATACACTCCAAACTGACATCATGCCATTGCTCCTCGGCGTTTGACATAATAAGAAACGTGGGTGTAACATTTCTAATTTTGTTAGGATATTAATACACACTTGCAGTGTACTTGTCGTGTACGTTCTGTACGGCATTTAATCCTAGAGTTGTTTTTTAGTTGTTGTTTTTTGGGGTTTTTTGTTCTTGTTTGTTTGTGTTTTTGTTGTTTGTTTTTGGTTTTTGTTTTGTTTGGGGTTTTTTTTTTTTTTTTTTGGGGGTTGCCAAGAATAATCCGTTTCTGAAAGTAGTAACAGGCTGACTAAAATGTACAGAAGTTGATATTTAGGATCGATGAGTACGTTGTAAAATAGGATTTATGTTTCATTCAATTTTCTAACTGCGTCGGGAGTGATCATACAGCAGTATCGATTATACGTCATACGCTACGTTTATTGATTAACATGTAAACAGTAAAGTACTGATTCCTGAGACGCCTTATTTCAGCACTGTTGACCTACTTTAAGAGGTCAGTTACTTACCTCAACATATATAGAAATGCATGTTATAATCCATAAGGAATAAGCGTTTGACAACTGGAAGTAATGTTCAGTTCAGGCCCAGCTATGATCAAGCGGTCTTAGGTAAATACAATCTATCGATTTTACAGAGCAGGCTTAAGTTAATCAACTGTAACTCCCCAACCCACTACCACTCCATCTCTCTACCACTACCACTACCACTACCACCACCTGCTCCCTCTCTATCTCTGTCTCTGCCTCTCTCTCGCGAAAACGTTAGCGTGTCCTGCCCCACAGGTGACACCCGTCATAAACATATGCTAAGTGTAGGCAATTGTTCACCTGAAATAATTCGGGAACGTATGGTATAAGTCAAAATATGGAATTCAGAAACCAGTTGTATACATATATTTTTATTCAAACATATTTATTTCTTTAAATGTAATATTATCCATATATGAATATAGTTATTTATATAATTTATGATATATGAGTCTATGCACCAGCCATGAAAGATCGATAATAGCATCCCACGAGGGCAGCATTTTACAGGTCAGCAAATCGTTCAAGACAATCATCTGAACGTCACCGTTAAATCTGATGATCTTAAAAAGACAAACGCCACTCAGAAAAAAATGCACGAGAGCGTCAAAGAATTATCTCGCGTCTGATCTCTTTATTTGACTTTATCACATTAGGACCAGTCTGACGTAAAGGTTAGTCCTCATTTATCATCCGTGGTTGTGAGCGATGCACTCTGTGTGTTGCTCTCTGTTCTCTTAAACCAGCTTCCCAAAGACTGCCTGGTGATCCAAGTATCTGCAGGTGTCAAGGGGTGGATGGCAGATTACTGATGGTGTGATAGGATCAGTATAGCCAGTGGGGGGAAGGCGTAGCTGCGGCACTGTAGTGCAACGCGTTCTCAGGGGCCATTTGCTATCGCTAGCTGAAACGCTGATGGGATCTCAGCTGGAGATTTTCATTTTTAACCTGTGCAGTGTCCTGCTTAGAACCAAGCGTTATTTGGAATATTGTAATCACGGCACGACTTTCGTGGAACTAGCTCAGAAACGACATTACACGTTTCATGAAACATTTAACAGTGACGCCAGTTTCGGTTATGAAGTCTTTCAGACAATGCAGAAATAGGAAACATTTTCACCATAGACTCGTATGCGGGTTCTTCCAAGTTATATGATTATTGTTAAAATATTATCAAGATCACTTATATATTATTTAGTCAACCATTGATAGTTTCATCAAACATGGACAATGCAAACTGTTCATTGCCGTAGCCAGACAATATCATTCTGTATGATTTAAAATGATAATAATGCCACCGACAGTGACTGTACATCTCTTAACATAGGTGACCCGTGAAGATCCGGGTTAGAATTGATCTTCAGTAACCCATGCTTGTCGTAAGAGGCGACTGACGGGATCGGGTGGTCAGGCTCAAGGACTGGGTTAACACATGTTATCGTATCCCAATTGCGTAGATTGATGTTCCTGCTGTTGATCCCTGGCTTGTGAGTTCCCGATCCGATTATTTACAGATCGCCGCCAAATAGATGGAATACTGCTGAGGGCAGCGTGAAACAAAAACTCATTAACTCACTCTTAACTTCGGTACATGTACATCCATACAAAGACGTTCTGAAGTAACTCATATATGCATCCTGTTCAAAGCGGCTTAACTCAGTCTCGTTGATTCACAATAAGTTTGCATTAGGTTTTGTTGTTGGTTTTTTCCCTGTTTTGTTGGGATTGTTTTGTCCAATCTCCAGTAACATCAACGCAGGACAAAATCAACCATGTGTTTGTGAGTGGCGTGATGTTGAGGATCCAGAATATTTCTTTGTTTCTACTTGTGGAACTAACAGTTTGTCAAAGATTGAAATCAAATAGGTGGAAATGTATGGTCTTCTTAATCCTCATCGGCACTTTGTTTAGCTGTGACCAGACTGTCCCCGGGGACGTATATGCTTCTCACACCTCATTAGCGAGTAATATGCACATTATCACAGTTGGCAAGTCTTGGCTAGACTGATACACGCGGAACTAAAATTACCACAGATGACAAAATGAGCGATTCAAGGAATCGATCAAAGTGCCATTCTACGCCAGCTGTATATTATATTTCATTCAGTGCATAAGTAGTCTTTTCTGTCGAGTAACCTGATCAGCCAAGCGTACTTATTTAATTGACTTAATGCTAACACCTGTTGAACCATGAGTGAAACTAAACTAAAAATAATCCGCAACGATCAGTTTGCCGACGAGTTATACCGCCATCGCTGTTTAACACGATTTAAAGCTTTACTCTTTAAAGCTGGATCCTGCTGGTATAGATTCATCAAATAACAGGATCACTAGATAATCTAAGTTCAATTAATTTCTGCCAAAGCCATACTTTGGTGAGAGAGGAATATGTGAACCTGTTACGAGTATAAGTGTGTATGTTAATTCATTGTACCGTTGAAGTCCTTTCTTTCTAATGCAATTGTTAAGACGCAATTAATAACATGCAACCCCCTCAAAGGGGGTTGAATTATTGTAAAATAATGGTCCTCCTGAGAGGGTACGTAAGTCCCAACATATTTACAGTAAATTTAGGGTTGCCACGTTTTTAATCGTAGAATATGTGTGCTTTTAAATTATGGCTAGATTTCGCTTCTGTTGCCAATGGCTGAAGGGATGGTGTAAATCCAACTAGGGTCCATGCAGGTAGCAAAAGTACTATTAATGTAAGTCCCCATGGTCCCTGGTATGGTGATCTACCTTCAGTTATTGGCGATGTATAGCCCATTTTTATACTGTATTGTTTTTCCCCTATAGTTAAAACGTTTTAGATTTAATTACTAGTTTTACATACATATCTATGATATTCTAGTTGTTTTACTGTCCTTCGTCGGCAGGTTTTTTATAATATACATATATTTCATTTCAATATCAAATGTTCTCGTCACGATATGGCTGAAATATTGCCGATGTGACGTTAAATATTAACTCACTCACTCACTTAATAACATGCAACCACTCTGTATATAAATGTGGCAAAGAGAGTAGACTGGAATACGTAAAAGTGGACATTAAGTGAGTATGGTTTTACGCCGCTTTTAGCAATATTCCATCCATATCGCAGTGGGGGACACACA